TCGGCGGCGGGCGGGTGTTGTCCGCGATCGGGGCCCGGGGATTGCTCTCGACCGAGAAGGTGTGGAAAGGGTTTGTTTGCCTCTTCGCTTTTCCAGAGCAGGGAAAAATATAAATGGTATCTCATTTATATCCCTGCGTTTTGTTTAAAAACTTGACCTGGAAGCTTATCCGCTAGGCGATGCGTATTGAAACGCGAGGTCTCCCGAAAAAACTGAAAGCGATATACTCATTGGCTCCTGAAAACGGGGGGGCAGCGTGTGCTAGGCGCCGGCTGCGGTGTGCGTTCTGGGGGGAGCAGCAGCGCGCACCTTCGCCGGAGCGGCGCTTGCCGAGTAGCGTGAAAAATTCTGTGCACGGCGTTTGCAGGCTCGCGTGAAGGGGTCGGGTTTTGGCAAGTCCTGGCTCAGAATGCGGCCTGCCAAGTGCTGGACCTAAAAATGCGGATAGGAGACCCGCGTCGGCGGGCGAGTGCCCCGGCGGCACTGTACAGCAGTGAGTTACGGAGACCCGAGACCCGCGTCGGCGGGCGAGTGCCCCGGCGGCACTGTAGAGTTACAGTGCGACCCTCTGGCGGTTGGGGCTACCGGGGGGAGCGGGGCCACCCGCGGGGGAGGGGGGTTTTTTTTTTTTTTTTTTTTTAAACTATCATCAAGTCTCTTTTCTGCAAAAATTTTACTCTTTAGCTGTATTTTGAGACCAGAGAACTGAGTCAAGATTTCCCATTGTATTAGCCTAATTTGCAATTCCCTTCCAGTCCTTTAAATAGAATTCACGCTCTTGGTAAAGGACTAGTAATGAATATTCATCAGTATCTTTTCAGTTTAGGAGAAGAAAAAAAAAAAGAGGGGGGAAGCCCCTTCACAATTTGCTACCTCTATTAAAACATAAGGAAGCTAGTGAATTGGTAGGAACCATCCCGCCGTGGTGGTTGCAGTGTCACAGACAGACTGTTGTTGCTGCAGCTGCAAAATCTCAGCTGGTAGGAAGCTGTGGGAGGGAGGAGGGGAGAAACTGGAAGGCAAAAAACAGCCTTGGATTTGTTTGGGGCACAGGAAACTCCTGTGATAAAGAAAAGTGGGTGGGAATTCTTCATTTTTTCGAAATGCCGTCTTTGCGTACCTTGAGATGAACCAGTACTGTGCTAAAACTTTTTAACGGGAACATGGTCTAGATTCCTTCTAGATCCCTGTTATCTCGGACTCTTCTAAGCCAACCTATCTTTCAGACAGTCCTAAATCTCTTCAAGGCCCCAGTGCTTCAAACTTGCACTCTAAAAATATCAGTGGCTTTTCTGGGTTTCAATTTTATGCAGCAAAGAGGAATACCGCTTCTGTTTTTATGTGCAGTGGTGTGCTTCTGTAAATACGTGCCAGGGCTTTAGAAAAGGACTTTTGGAAATGTAATCCTGAATCATGCGTGCGGTTCCTGGACTACTGTATCTTACACTTCTAAGTAGTAACTGATACTTTTGCTAATTGTGAAAGACAGAGAAAAATCTCTTCACGCTGCACGCTTTTGTGGAGCAACAGCAAAGCAATGAAGATTGTTTAGCCCCACTTGGTTTTCAGTCACTGCTGAAATTCCTCTGTATTTGGGGGATCAGAACAGGTGCAGGGATCAAATCAGTAAAGGTGCAGTGCTTTACTGCTTGGTGGCACAGAAACGCATTACTTTCTGCCTTCTCACCTTCCCTTGCTTATCTCCCCACAAAAGTCAGTGCTTGTAGTGCTGCAGGAAAGCTCAGTTCCCTAAAGTTTCAGCAAGAGCAGAATGAAGACTGTCAGTCACTCTCACAGATTCCCCCCTGAGTTGAATAAACAGAAGCAGTTGGTGAGAAGAGATGGACAGGTCAGTGGAAGAATTTGATCTGTTGAAACGTGGGGCTTGTCAGTGTTTGGGAATGCTTATTCGTAAAGTCAGCAGGGATAGGAGTGATGTGACTTTCACCTTCTCTTCTTTTGCGTCCGTGGAGAACTGCACCTTTCCTCCGCCATTAATGCCACAGTAAGTTGAGTTGAAGGGCTGTGGCGGGGGGGGCAGTCCGGCAGGGAAACTTCTTCTGTACATCCCTTCAGGGCTCCTGGCTGTTTAGAGGGGGAAAGGGAAGATTTAAAATAAACACAGAGATACCTCTTGGTTATCTGAAGTAATTTTTTCTTCACTTCTTGCCCCTGCTTTTTCTGAATCGAGGTTTGATTGCATTGCTGCCGGAGTCCCGGTATACTTTTTATTCTTGGCAGTATGGATGGGTGTGCAGTGGAGATACTCTAATAGCTGCAACAGGTTACTCTGGAGCTTTTCTGTTAGTGCACTTTGCGTGGTGACAGCTGCTTAGTTCATTTAGTCAAATACGGTCTGCTTTCAGATCTTGATGGGTATGTTGGATTTGCATTCACAGCAAAGACTTTTTAAAAGGAACGATCCACATGTAATACTTATTCTTACTGATTTCATTTCAAGTAATAGGACCAAAACGCATGGAAACGTAGCACACATTGACTGACTGAGCTCTTACAGAGTAATTTTACTACTCCTGTGTGCATATATTGCAATACTGTGGTTTGCATAGTTGGTGTTTGGAGAACGTAGTGTACCATTTTACTGAAGGTGCTAAATAAACCAATTTGCAGCGTCACTGGTGAGATCTGTAATTCCTCGGCATCTGAACCAGCAAAAGAATTCCAGCCCTTGGGGATCCCCCTGCCCTCTCTAAAACGCTACCAATGCTAGCCACGCAAGGTGATGGGTTGGCACGGTATTAAATGATTGCAGTTTGGTACGGCACCTCATGCAACAGGGGACCTGCTAGAATTGGGCTGTGCTCATAAATGTCAGGGATGTAGCTGTGCTGAGGAGATCTGGGGTGGTGAAGCCTAGGAGTTTGTTTCCTCAAAAAGTCATTTACTGAAAAATCAGATGTGCGGTGTTGTAACTTTGAGGAGAAGGTGATTTTGTATTAACAGTTCTAAAGGTGTGTTGTTTTGTTTGGTTTTTTTTTAAACCTAACTTCAATTTTTTTTTATTAGACCTTTAAATGAAAAACAAGCAAAAACCCCAAACCGCTTGCAGCCAGTTATTTAAAATATTGTTGTTGGGTTCACTGCAGTGTCTGCTTAGAAAACTGGCTTTGTTTTTGAATGTTGTGCAAGGGTTGGCATTATGTTGCAGGAGTCACAGGAGCTTTTATTGAATCTTTAACCTTTACCAGATCTAGTTCAAGCTCTGTAAACAAGCATATCCTATTAGAGGGAATGAATCATAAATAAATCCGCTCCACAGTGTGCTGAAATTCCTACCCTCTTTCTATTACTGAGTCTTCAAAAATGTTTTGTTGACTAAATATACCTATAAAATCTTAGAGTTTTATTCTCTGTGGTTTAACTAGCAGCTGGGTATTTTTACAAAAGTGAATGGATTATTGATCAAAGGCTTTAATGATGTTGATCAAGGCTGATTGTGTTTGGCATTGGGAAAAAATAGCTGTAGATAAAATGGAAGAGATGATACCTAGATTATCACTTCAAATTTAGTTAAGGCTTAACTTGTGTACCTGTTGGTGGTGTTGGCATTGAACTTGCCATCACTTCTACAAAGTGTCTAGAAGCAGTACCTGAAAAGCAGAAAAGAAATGGGTCTTGAGATGTATACCCTGCATCTCTTAGCCTGTAAAACTATTTATCAGGGAAAAAGCTACATTGTTTTAATGGAATCTATTTTAAACTAATTTACATTCACCAGGGCCGGTCTCTTAAGATAAAGGACATGAAATAAGGTAAAATGTTAAGTGTGAGAAACTTGAGATTTTACATTTTGAAGTCTCTGTTAGGGGTTTTCGCTAGACTAACTGGGCTACCTAGAACTGATATACTTAAACTGATGTGGTTCTGCTTAGACCTGACCATCAGTAGATTACTCTCCAGCCTGAAAAGTATCTATATAGCAGTAGGTATAAACTAGCCAACTACCTTTGAGGTGTGTGGACAGTGCAGCAGCAGGTATAAGAGAACGGCTAACTATTTACTCATCTCAGAAGTCCTGACTTACTGCATTCCTTGCTTTTGTTCTCTTAGTCTCTTTCTTTCCACACTCTGCTTCCTTCTGTTCTCTAGCAGATGGTGGCACGTACTTGCATACATGAGCTGTAGTGTCTTTCTCCTACTTCCTGTTATTTTCAAGGTTCTTCTTCTTCCATTTCTTCCCAAAATATTAATTATCTTCTTTTTTTCTTTCTCTTACCAGTTGCCACACTTGTATGTGCACGTATTTCTGTTTCCTGCCTGTCCTGTCTTAGATAGCCGGTGGAGGTATAAACATGTTCATCAAAGTCAGGGAATTAAATCCCCCTGAATCTCACCCAGGTGAGAAGGTTTTTCCTCCATCCCCACACAGAGGCTGAGAAGGGGGCAAGGGAGGGGGCAGCTTTATGATTTTTTTGCTAGGTTTCTCTTTCCCCTATTGTGGACTCTGCTGATCATCTAAAGCTTCATATAAATCTGAAGTTTGCATCCTTCACTGGTATTGCAATAATATTGGGAGATCCCAGTTGTGCACTGGGTTCCTAATAATCACTGTATAAACAGACATCTGATCTGTCAGCTGTTCCTGCTTCTGCTCCCATCACACCCAGTGCCACCCATCTCCTAACCCTACCCCGTGC